CAGGATCGAAGAACAAGATAGCTCCCGCAGCGTCGACAAGAGCGCGCGGGTTGACGCAGAAAAAGTCAACAGGAGTCCGGACGTCAGCTGCGAGGTGAAAGCAGGAGGGGGTTAGATAAAACTCATGCGAGAGAGCGAAGAGTACGAGGTAGGCCAGCAGCAGGGAGCGCGCCTAGAACCATCGACCACGCCCGCGGACGACATCCCCCTGACCATCGCGCGAGCCCCCGAGGGGCGGCTCAGCGCATTACAGCAGCACCACTTCTGCTACTAGGGTCCCAGACCCGCTCAGGCACGTGATGAAATGATCATGTCCTCTGTCCGAAGATGAATGGCCTTGTTTTGTATGCGAAAGATTTTTAGGCTTGTATCTGAATCGTTTCCTGTGTTCGGAATTCTGCGAAATGTGTGGTGTTGGGATGAAAGAGAGAGTACGGTTGTCACGAACGAGATAACTGAACGTGTGAGGGGTTATCAAGCCACCAACAGCACGTATGAGGGGATGTTATGCTTCCAAGAGTATAGTTGCCAATCGTGCAACGCAAAGAGTATGAGGGGTTTTTATCCCACCAAAAGCAGTACGGTAACAAGAAAAAAGATTCATGCGTAACTTTGTTTGTGGGACTACCACGTCACCACCTACACAACAGCAAAACGTGGACATCATTACGCATTTGAAGGACAGTCAGAATTCTTGACGCAAGCACGTAGGATTTCATGGCAAGTTTGTAGGAGATGTTGGGTAGAATTTCGCTGGAGAGAACAGCAATATGCGTGACAGGACCTCGGCGAAAAGCGAGAATTGACCCAAGACTGACGTTTTCCGACTAGATCGCAGCGAAAATTAGTCAGAGGCATCACTCAGCCAAGAAGCGAGGTTGACCCAAAACTAAATTCCGGACTAGATCGTAGAGGACAGCAGTAAGAGCCAGTACTCAGCATGACGCGGAGCAAGATCCACCAAATGCGTTCCTCCGAAGAGATCACTCAAGACCATTTCAGTGGCACAACACGAACTTTGAAGTTTCACGGCGTGAGCAGAAGAGAAATTTTGGATGTCCAACTGTATTTTATTTTGTTTTGGTACTACAGCAGTCACCCCTATGCAGAACCGGGGGGAGTGCTGTGGAATGTGATTCTCCTCAGCTGTTTTATAAGGAACTGATTGTGCCACCATCTTCCCTTCCGAACGCGCGACCTGCCCTCCACCGCTGCCGAGTCAATCCTTCTGGAGCGACAATTGTGGTCTCCCCCAACGAAGGCGGACGATTTGCTGACGATGCTCCAGCCGCGGCCAGCCGGACGAAGAGCACAGAAGGCGACCGCGGCGGAGGCGAGCTGTTTATCCGCGGGGGAGAAACAATGGCAGGGGCAGTGGTCCAATGCGCTGGGGTTTATGGCTGGAAAAGTAGGCGCATTGAGGTTCATCTTGAATTTGAGTTAGTTTGAGATTTGGCGTTTGTTTTGTTTGATTTGAGCTTGGGTTTGGTTTTTCAGATCTGATTGAAGTGTGGATGAGAGGATCAGAAGTACTGTTATGATTTTCGGCACCTCTCGTATTGTTTTTCGGCTTGACTCCGACCCCTTCACAAAGCAGGGGGGCGGATCCTCGGAGCAGGGGGCAGCGTTATATTCTTTCAAACGAAATGGCGTTGCTGACATTTCTTCACCGAACATTAATGATATATTGTGAGTATTTCAGGGAGATAGTACTTCCTCGCGTTTTACCTGCGGACGAAGGTTTGGTGGATGAATGGAACAATTTGTCTTAGGATTGCATACATCTTGGTAATGGTAGGATATCTAGCTAGGCGGATTTAGAGACGCACCGAGATATTGTGACGAATTGGCGGTGAAAGGAAAGGCGTCTTTGAACGGCGTTCGTCATATTTTTCTGGATGAAAAGAGTTTGAGTTCAGAATTTTCAGAAGAGAGCGAGAGTGATTGGCGTGTGTTGGTATGCTATTTGGATACTATTTTCGTGTCTGAAGTATTTTCGTTTTTTTGGTTTTGATTTTGTTTTGGGATGAACTGGTATGAGAAGGATGACTATGATATTTTCCCGGAGCATGACGATGCATTCGAGCAGGGGGGCTATTCGATATACTCGTAGCATAGCATGCGGGTGGTATATTGCGTATTCATATGCGGGTATTGCAGTGAC